GCTTTTACACAAGCTCATGATGATGACAAAATCATAAAGGCCCCTCCCCCCCATTCCCCAACTCTCTCCGCCAGGAGACCACTTTGGCCACATCCAACCAGCAGCCTTGGGAGCTGGCTTTCTTCGGCATTGGGTGATAACTGTAACATTGTTTTGAAAGAAAGGCTCTTGTGATTGAAGATTGGGCCTGTGGACTGGAGAAAGTCAGATCCTCTTCCGTCCTTTAGATGTTTCCAAAGGATAACTCACAACGCTACTAACATCACAACCCCTAGTGCCAGCTAGAAACAACAATAACTACAGAGTCACCATCGCCAGACAGGAATCCTGGGGTGGTGTCCTCATGTGGCCAATTTGGGGCAGCTCACGGCAAGGGGAATGGCTGTGATGGATCTTAACAGCTGAGCAGGAATGGGCAAAAAGCAAAGCAGACCAAAGACCCCAGAACTCAGGGAACAGCTGTTGAGCTTCAGAAACAGGTGGAAGCCAAGAGAAAAATCTATGAGCACAGTTGTCTGTCCTCATCGTGTTCACAGAGAAAAAGCCCGCCCACCAGGCCAAGATATACCCACGTTTGCCCCACTTCTAGCCTTTTATCCCCCCTCACCCCACTTGCCTCATAGTTCTGAGGGATAGGAGGTGTGGAGTGTTGTCGAGTAGAGAACACAGGTCAGTGAGGTAGAAGGGAACAAATGAGGAATGTGAAGACAGGGAGGACATCCAGCCTAAAGTAACGCCAATAACAGCCCACCATGCTTCCCACACATTCCTGGAACCTCGCATTGCTCCATTCCCCCCACACAGCTGGCTCCCTGGCCTCAGAGTAGGGGCATGGAATGACTAAGGGCAGCCTTTGTTTTTATAGGCCTGCTGAGAGGCGCCTGTCATATTGCATTTAAGGCAAAGACTGCTGTCTACCAGCTCAAAATCTAGTAAGTCATTATCACCATTTTACTTTGTACTGATCCCAGAAGGACATGCATATATTCTCCTTGGTTCCTCTGCTAATTCAGTGAGATTAGTTTTTCTAAAATCAGAGGAATGAAAAACATTGCATAGAATGTCAGAGTTCATTAAGCACCCCTGTATCAAAGAACGAGAGTTCAGGAGGAACAAAGGAATCCAGTGCAGCCTTTATGGGGAGGCACCTGCCTGCGCTCACCCGGTAACTTGCACTTTTGCTCTGATCTCTCAGGGGTGTGACTGATTCCCTAACTTGGGACAGCTGGCCGCAGCTCAGAGCTTTCCCCCCTTCTTAGAGCACAACCTGCCTCCTTGGTTTGCTCATGAGCTGCCTGACTGACATGGCCCTGGCTGGGAGGCAGACCGGGCAGGCGAGGTGGGTGGACTGTTTCCTTCCTCCTAGAGCTGGTCTGGGCCTGGTGGGATGTGTGGGTGTGTGTGTGTGTGTGTGGAGTCTCTCCTGGCCATGAAAAGAGCACGGACGAAATCTCACCCCAAAGCTCTGTAGCCCTCTGGGCCGGTAACATCAACCAGCAGACCTGAATGTCTACATTTGACAGATTGGTTTTTAAATGAGGGAAAAAACAAAGAAGCCAACAGGAAGGAAACTGGGCAGGGAGGCAGCTGTGCTTTGCAAGTACAAGGAACTATTCCAAGGAGGCCATAAACCGTTATCTCTTGCCTCACTGATTTTCCCAGACATAGCGGCCATGGTTCGATAGTAGTCATATGGGTCAAGATCCTGGCATTTTTTTGAGACTTCTCTCAACCTGTGTTCTGGGCCAATCTGCCCAATCCTGCCCAAGGAAATGACCTAAGCCACCTCAGTGTCATGGGGTTCCTCAGGCAGCTTGGTTATGAGAATCTTTGAGGTGAGCTAACTGGCCGTGGTAATCCTTTCCAAAGAAGAGAGATCTGGTAAACAAATCACAGACAGACATCCTGACTGATTCAGAAGTTTGAGAGAGGAGGTTACCTAGGAGCTACGCAGGGAGAAGACTCCCTTTTCTGAGGTGGAAGTGAGCAGGGATGGGTCTTGGACAGAACCCACACGTCTTCCAATTCAGACACCACCAGAGGACTCAGGCAGGAACTAGGGCCAAGAGGCTAAACGTGAACACTGATTTTATGCTGAGTCTCCACTTAGCCAGCTAAGTAATGGCAAAAACCTTAACTATAGAGTTACAAACACTGCCTCCAATTAACAAAAAGAAGCCATTTAAAATGGTATAATGGAGCTTGTAATTAAGTGTTAGTGTTTTATACGGGACCATTTCCCCCAGGGGAGAGGTACAAATCAGCTTTTTAAGCTGATAGAGAGTAAGGAAGAGGAGGGTCTGCTGCCTGTGGGAGCTACTGTTTGGAACGACAGCCAGTGGAAAGTAAACCACAACAAGAGGATGCTTTTCAAGGCACTTGAATATTGCTTATCATGAAGAGAGATCAACCCTTAGACTCAAACTGAGGGGCCCAATGAGGGGGACACTCCCACTCCACAAGCTTCTGTGTTATTTAGTGGCAGCTCTTAGAAGTATTACAGACAGTGATAACACAAGAGATTATGGGATTGGGATCTCAAAAAAGAAAAAAATAATAATAAATAAATAATCGAGAAAAAATACACAGAACCATAAACAAAAATTTAACCAACTGATTGTATCGAGCACGCAGATGTAAGTCTGGCAAAAAGACAGAATGGAAATCAACAATAACCAATTCTTCTGGCTTAAAAAACAAACAAACAGAACACCAACAAAAATGATTCAATTGCTTGGAAGAGCCCAAGTGGCTCTTCTGGACTGTTACTATTTGGCCACTAGGATGGACAGATCTACACGTCTCAATTTCCTCAGATATAACACCTTTGTATGACAGTCATGCCTTTAAAACTAAAACACTACCCTAATGTTTCCTGTTAACTTCCTTCTTTTCATTCTAATGATATTTAGAGCTTCTTCACACACGATGACACAAATCCCTCAAGGTTTTCGTGGAGAGGACACCACAGTACTGTCAGTGGTTCTGCTACTCACTGTCCTAAGGGCCACTAACGCGAACTTGCTCTTCTTCACACACCTGAATCGAGCCAGATGGTAATCCATTTTCCCTTACGCGCCTCCGTTTTGAATTCTATTTTTCACTGAATCAGATTTCAAGTTCAGAGATAATGCAACCATCCAAAGACAACCAAACGGCCTGCCTCCCAGCCTCCTAGAGCCTTCTGGAAACTTCGTATTCATGAAAAGGCATTGTCTTTAGTGTAGTGACTCTTAATTGTGAAATCTTGAATTAAGTGCTGCAGTTGCAGGTTAAAAAGACTGTAAATGAAATACGTAATTTCTAAAATATCATGCAAGAACTGTGGTTTCACATCTTACAGTCGAAGTCCTACAAGTTAATTAATACAAGCACACTGAGGTGTAATAGCGGGAGCATACCTTGAAAATTGTAACTCCCTCCCACCCCCCCAAATCAAAAAAAGTAATATTAATTAAACTTAAGAGATAATGAATGCACCATTAAAATGTCATCCAAAGATGTTGACCTAAGACAAAGGTTTCAATGATACACAATACGGTCAAAAAGTTTTCAATCAGTAATATACAGTATGACAACTACATCTTGTAAATTATACCCAATACTGCCGGCAGTCTATCCCTCTAAAGAATATTTGCCCCTTTCATCCCTTCCTAACAATCAGATAATAAAATACAGCACCTATAAATAAGCAAAAAAAAAAAATATATATATATACCGAAATCATCTATTGTTAGTTTAAAGATATGGCAATAAAGGAGTCTAAATTAGCAAACTTGTAGAAGCCATAACTGATAAAACAGCTTATTGAAAAAAGGTGGCAGTAATGCACTCTATGTGTGCACAGGTACTTAAGAAAATACACAGACGTATAAAATTGCACACACGCACACACGCACACTCTCATCCGCCTCTATTCTCACGCATCTACACATAGACAACAGGAGGAATCAGAGACAAGTTAGACTTTTGATTTGTACTTAGACTATCCTAAACTGTGCATAAAAGAACTTTCCAAGAGGAAGAATGAATGAAGGGCAAATGGTCTGGAAGTGAAGAGCATCAACGTTTTGGTGTAAGTTTGGGCCATTTCTGTGAGGGTGGGTGCAGAGCCCAGACTGCCACGTTCTCTCTTCTGCAGGGAAGGAAGCTTCCCACGACTTCAACATAGTCATCAGTGCTTGTGGTGGGAAGCAAGGGAAAGAGAGCGCGCGCGCAAGCCCTGCCCAGGCCCAGGGAGCATCTTCCCCTGGTAGTGCTCAGTCCATCAGGCGCCCGGGAGAGTGGTGTGAGGTGTGGTGCCTTCTGTGCCAAGGAAAGACTGCTGTCTACAAGAAGCAGGACCCCACTTTGGCCCCAGGTTCTACATAGGGCCCCAGAACTGCCTGCTGTGACCTTACCGGCCTACTCTTTCCTCCTTTCTTTAAATGCTTGCACATGTGCAGACGCACTAACACAGACATAAGACACCATAAATTAAACAAAATGAACAGGTACATGCTACAGTTCTAACTTGTCTCCTAAACCTCCGAGATATGAGGTCTGATCAGCGTGCTCTGCGGTTAGAGGTTAAAAAGCAGATTATAAAATACCTAGATTCGGATCTTTTCTTTTTGTCCTGATTTGGCCTAGAATGGAGTGTATTAAACAAACCCTGGTCAGCAAAAGCCCAGAGTCAGTTAAAGCTATGGATCAATGTGCACTACATGTCAGGATTCTATTCATGTACAAGAAAACACTACATCAGCTACCACAAAATCAGATATTTTCCTGATGTGACTTTTTCTTCTTGTTAAAAAATATGTGGAGTAAATGTATTTTATTTTAATTCAAAGTTTCAAATGAGAAGATTCTTTTCTTGAAAATATTTAGGAATCCAAACTAGTGTGTTTAGAGTCGGTTTGACTGTGCAATCTCTTAGTGGCAACTGAACAGCTACAAAAACTTTCTTTTTTAATTTTTCTGAAAATCCCCCCCCCCCACTTTTTTTCCTGGTTTAAGAAGATAATAGTGTATTATCGCTCTGAAGCCATTAGATGGCAGATAAAAAGCCCCCTTTTAATATGTGGGTTTGATTTTTTTTTTTTTTTTTAAGCCCACACGAAAGAGGAGGGCGCAAGGCAAAGCTGTAAGAGTTATTCCAGAATCTGTGGAAATCACTTAGGGCAATAAAAAAAACACTTCAGGGTACAAAAAAGCTCGACTACACATTTCCGTTTTCTTCCTTGAAAACACGACATAGATTGGGCTTAATGCTCCTTTGTTTTCTATATGCACCTTGGCCTATGGCGATTTTGCCCTGTGGCCCGCAGGGCGGTAAGTGCGCAACACGGTCCAGGCCCCGGGTCGGCGCGCCCCTCCCGGCTACTGGCCCGACGGCCCGGCTCGGCCGGGCGGCGGCCTCTCAAAACTCCCATTCGATGGGCTCCTCCCGGCTGGCGGCCTTCTCCAGGCGGTGGATTATGCTGTTCAAGTTCGCGGCCTTCTTCTTTCTCAGGGGGTTGTCTCGCGAGTCCCTGGCTCCTGCCGCCTCCGGGAGGCCGAAGAGGCTCTGCAGCGAGCTGGCCCGGCGGGCGCACGGCGGCGGCGCGCTGGTGCTTGGCAAAGCGGAACTCCTCACGGCGCCCTCCCGGGCCTGGCCGGGGCCCTCGGCGGGCGAGGCGGCTGAGGTAGCGGCGTCCTCCCCGGCCGCGGGCGCGGCGGCAGGGTTTGGCACGGGCCCCGGTCCGTCCGCGGGGCCATCTGGCGGCAGCGGTGGCGGCGGAGCCCTTGACTGGCCCTCGTCATCGGCGTCGTCCGGAGCCGGGGTACCCGAAAGCGGTGGCTCCGCCTTCTCTGGCGGCCGCGGCGCCTCTTCGCGCTCCTCCAGGGCCGCGGCCGCCTCGGCTGGCCCTCCCTGAGACTTGGTGGCGGCCGTGGGGCTGCTCGACTCCTCGGCATCCACAGCGCCCGGGCCCTCGGCAGCCTCCACGCCGTCGCAGCTGTCGCCCTCCGAGCTGGGCACTGCCCTGCCGCTTCGGGCCGACGGGGAGTCGCTGGCCCCGGTTTGGCCCTGGCTCCCGGCCTGAATTTCTTCAATGAACAGTTCTCTGCGGATACGGGACCTACGAGACAGAAGCGGTGAGAGCGCCGTGAGGTGGCTGCTGTGAACCCGCAGGCACAGGGCCCTTCCTTCCCGGGCCTTCTGCCAGACCCAGCCCACCATCTCTGCCCTTCTCCCCACCGCACTGCATCGTCACACTCCCACCTAGCGCCCCCAGGCTCCTATTGCCCCCAGAGCACAGCCAAAGCGCCTTAGTGGCCAACTGACTCTCCACAGCCGGGAGGGCACCCTACTCCTGTGTCACTGCCCACCTTCCCTAGCCTACAACAGACCCTGAGCAAAGCTCCCAGGGTTTCCCAAACTCATTCTTGCCTGGTACTTCTGAATATGTTGTCCCTTGACTAGAATGCCATTCTCCTCTTCTCCACTAGGATAAAACTCCAATGTTATTTATTTAATGGCAAATCCCCTCTACTAGATTGTAAAAGCAGAGGACCCATTTACTCTTCACAAGCCCCACGCCTAGTGTTGCGCTTGGTATACAGGAATAAATACTGACTGAATTAATAAATGAAACTGCCAAGTTGACTCATAACCACTGCTTCCTCATCAGGACTTCATGAGAGAGAACAGTTACTAGAAAATGCTCAAAGAGAAAAACTTCAGCTTCCAGCCCTGAGCCACAGAGTTAGGGGCTTCTAGTCCAGGATAGGTAAGGATCTCACCAAATTGTGTATTTTCAAATAGTTGCCTCCTCTGAAAGGAGAAGACCAGAGAAGGGTCACTTTTTGATCAAGCAGGAAGAGACCAAATATGTGCTCCAACAAATTAAGTTTTAATCAAGCCAAGTTCAACCTACAATGGAAAATATGTTCTGGTACTTTGCAGGGACACTACCATCTCTTGAAGGGCTGCTTTCTCTTTTGGAGCCCTTGGTGACCCCATGAAAGGGTGCTCTTTTTAAGTCTGTATTTGCTCCAAAGTTACTCCTCTCATCATGCTCACAGTATAGGCCCAGTTAGAGGTCTCCCTAGTTGTTTCTTCCCTCGAGTTGAAGAAACCTCTGATAACGTGGAAATCATTAGTGGAAAAGCATCTTAGGTCAATTAGCACCAAGCCCAGTGTCTTGCACAGAGAGGGCCTGCAGAAAAGCACTTGGGGCAGGCATGCATGAAAATATTTTCTGCATTACATGTAACTCCATAAAGGTAAACTTTTCTTGAGTATTGAAGCCAGGGAGAATATGGCTGTAGTTCAGTCAACAGGTCAGTACTCTGGTGGAGTTGTTATCTGTTACATAGCTATTTGCTCCCTGCATGTGGAGCTCTGAACCTTGTCCAGGAGGAAGATTTCTGATCTAGAGTTGCAGGGTAAGGTCCTGAGAAACTTCCCAGAAGTTCCTAGAGGTAACAGCGAACTTTCCTCCTTCTCTGGACCTGCCTTGGGAATAGGCTCCTGGGCACTAGGCTGTGAGGGTGAGCCTGCTTTTTACTGGCTCTTCAGCAGGGCTTCACACTGGTTCTTCATGGTTCAGTCATGGCTGAGGATGTAGGAAGTGAAACCCAAACAGATCCGAAGTTTTGTAAAATTTGAGTGAACCAGAACAATAACCAGAAAGGGAAAAATTACAGGTCGAAGCTCTACTAGAAACCTAATCTCACTCTTAGAAAAGAAGGGCAGCCTACGTGTCATATAGCAACCTCATCACTTATTCGTGAGATTTTGAGTCGGAAACAGCAGCCCCGCTCAAAGATGGTGGCTGACTGTACCACTTTGAATGTGTGTCACTCTCTGCTCTCATGCAATAATTCAGTCTCCTGCATCAGGAGGGCTCACTATGTCTCTTCCAAGTCTCCCATTCCAAGGCGTTGACTCATAATTTTTTCCCGTTCCGGATCACTCAAATTGTAAAAATTCGGGTCTGTCCCGGTTTCACTTTGTTGACCATGACTGAACTGGTTTGAAGCCCTGCTTTTAAGTCCCTTGGCAGCTGAGAATGCCAGGTGGAGTCAATGCCCCATCGCTGCTCACTCTGGCTGGGGAGGTAGGAGGCTAGACAGGCAGCCAGGCCACTGCCCTACAAAGTACTGACCTTGGCATCTCAGGGGCAGCCTGACCCAGACAGAATACAGTACAGGCTTTTTGGAGCCAAGTTTGAAATCTGACTTTTCTACTTACGAGCTGTACGACTTGGGCAAGTTATTTTCTGAGCTTCAGTTTTCTTATCTGACAAATGTGGAGAAAATTATCTTCTCGCAGAGATGTTATTTAGAGTTAATAAAATATTAACTGTATAGTACAGGACATAAATTAGACACTAAAAAAAAAAAAAGTATTCTTACTACCCAGCAGCCTTTTGATGGACAGAACACTTGTTATAAGCTCTAAGGCTGAGGGAGAAGGGCCAGGGGTAGGAAGAGGACAAATTCATGCCTGGAGCATAGGATCTGGGCTGCCCTCCGACCTGGGTGGAACCCTGGCTTCCACACTCACCAGCTTGGCCATCAATGTGTATAACTTTTCTCCGTAAAATGCGGCTAAAGCACCGCCCTCACTGCTGACAGAAAGATTTAATGAGATTTAACTCTTAGTGCATTGCCTGGCACATACTAGGTGCTCAACAGATGTGAGACATCATCCTTCTTATCTCAGGTTTGTCTTTGTGTTCACAAGGAAGATTATCTTCCGGTGCAGGAAGCCCAGGTCTCGGAAGCAATTCTGGTTTTTAGACAAGTCATACAAGAATCACAGAATGCCAAGACCTAAGGACTCAGAAGAATTTCTACTGGGTGGAGATATTTTTTGTAACTGGGAAGTACCTCTGCCCAAATACTCAATAATCCACAGCTTTGCATGCTCCTGTCCAGAGTCACAATACTTGCATTAAAATGGACCTAACTTGTGGAAGGCTTGAAAGCACATATTCGAATGTACCTCTGTGTCTGGAAAGTAAAAATGGGACTGTACAACACATGGCAAGGAGAGGATCCGGGGAACTTCTGTCCACATTTCCATTCATTCTCCTTCATTTTCACTTGGTGTGTTGTTGTTGCGGGGGGTGGGGGAAAGGGGCGGGTAGTGACGGGGCTTCATTATTGCTTTTGAAGTTTCCTTCCATGTAGGGGGAGCTCCATTATTGTAACTCCTGGCTTCCCTCTGCCTCTGTTACTACCTGATTGTAAATTTGGGATGAATAAGCTGGTTTGCGCTCAGCTTATCTACTTTCTTTGTCCTAGAGCCAGTGCTACCATGTTGGATAAACGTGCCTGGTTCTAGGGTGCAGGTAGCAGGTCCATTTGGTGCTTACACTAAGTGGTATCTGTTAACTTAGCCTTTCTCAGCAATAAAGGTGTTATCTGGTGCCCATCTAATATTTTAGAAAATTCCCAATTTATTCAGAACCTGGGTGGTTTACTGGGCCCCATTAGAAACTCTGACAGAACCTATTAGAAGAGGCAGGGCCCAGTCAGGGACAGAACTTCTCTGCTAGTCCATGACTGTCTATGATTGAACACTGCCTGCCACTGGTTTCAGGTTCAGGTAAGTAACCATGAGGGCTCCAACTGCACGGGCTACACAGGTGTACCTGCTACCCTGGGATAGCCAGGAGCACCTACCTACCCCAGTTTTACTGAGCCCTAGAAAAAATGATGCTTTGATGAGAACTGGCAATCGAGATGGCTACTTAAAAGGCATTAAGCAGGAATTTCTATCAGGCCACTGGGAATTCTTAGTTTCTAGTAGTAGGGAGTCTTGGTTACAGCTATGACCAACAATTCATTATCCTTCAGTGATTTCCATTATCTGCTCCAAACATTTTTATTCCCTGTCGACCCTGTCCTATTAGGAGAGCACCGGGCCCTTTGTACCTGCAAGTTTTCTGTTTTTCCATCTGTAAAATGAAGATACTATTATATCTCTGATATAGGTGTGAGGATCAAGTGATATAATGTTGGTCAAAACACTTGCTCAGTGTCTGGAGATCTAGTAGACGTTTGTTAAGTCTTTGTTAGCTCATAAACTTTCCCAAAAGAAAGGGTCTTAAACTACTTAATTTATTTACTTACAAAGCTAAGCAAACTAATTTGGAAAACAATACTATAGAAGACCCTGAGAAAGCATAAAAAAATTGCTCAGAGGTAAATGTTTGCTGCTATGGACCATGGATGCCTACACTCTCCCTTATTGAATGATACAACTGAGAGGTGATTTTTTTCTGGTTATGGCAGAAGTGGATTGTCTCTGACTACATGATGCTGATTTAGAAGAGACTTGGCCTACATTTCTGGAGTTAAAAACTCAAAAGGAAAAAACACAGAAAACTAGCCAAGCAACTAAATACCAAGTTCTTAGCCCCAGTGTGCCATGGATGGCCATGCTCTTGAGTACAGATCAGCCTCTTCCCGGGGCTGAATGGGCTCACTCTCAGAGCCACCATTTACTGGGCGATGGCAGGGCCGTACCTGTAATTGTGGAACCAGTTGATGACGGTGCTGGTTTTCAAGTTGAGCTGGGTGGCGAGTTCTTCGATGGTTTTTGGTGACGGGTATGGCTTTTGCTGATACGCTCGTTTCAGAGCTTCTTTCTCCTCAGGGGCCAGCACCACTCGGGGTTTCTTCAGCTGGTGCTGGGGCTGGGGGCTGGCACCCTGGCTGTAGTCAATGCCAACGGAGGGGGATTCACAGGGCTGGCTATCACTGACTGAGCTGTGCCGCCGCTTCATGTAGGCTGGGGAGGAAGAGGAGTCAGACTGAGATGTAAGGCCCAGAGTGAAAGGGCCCACACCCGACCCCCACTAGCATGACCATGTACCATCAGCTCTCCATTCCTGTTGTGTAGATTGTGGCAGCTGGTCGTTCTGCCCTGCTCTTTCCAAGAGCATCTCAAAGCACTTGGACTAGAGCCATTCTGTCACCCAACACACACTCACTGAGGGTCTGCTCTGTTGTAACATGAGGTCCCTGTCTGTCCTGGCACAGCTAACAGTTTAGGGGGGACACAGAGACATGGATAGATAGATGGCCACAGTACAGTGCGATAAGGGAGGTGAACACGGCGTACCATGGGGGACACAGAGGGAGATTACTCAACTCAGCCTGGGAGGAGGTCAGGGGAGGCTTCCCAGAGGAGAGGATGTTTAAACAGAATCTTGAAGGACAAGGAAGGATCAGCCAGAAAAAACAGGGACTGAGGTAGAAGATGGCAGGAGGCTATTGTTGGAACAGTATGTGCAAAGACACAGAGGCGCAAAACAGCCCGTTAAAGTACGTGTATGTACGTACGTGTGCGTGTGTGTGCGCACGCGTGCCCGCAAGGGGGTTGGTGGTGGAGGAGACACTGTAGGAGATAAAGCTAGAGAGATGGGCAGAGCCAGGGAGGGCCAGAAGTTTGCACTTCACCTGGAAGGTAATGGGGAGAATGAAAATATTATAATCAAGCCGATGATAGATACGTGTTTCTGAAAGGCTGCTCTGGCTGCAGTTTGGAGAATGGAGGAGATGGGGAAGGACTGGAAGGAAGGGTTCCGTTAGGAGGTAAAAATGATAAAGATGTGAACTTAGGTAATGATAATGGAAGGAGCCCTGGTGGCTCGCTCAGTGGTTAAGCACTTGGCTGCTAACCAAAAGAAAGGCTGTTCGAACTAACCATCCGCTCCAGGGAAGAAAGATGTGGCAGTCTGCTTCCATAAAGATTACAGCCTTGGAAACCCTATGGGGAAGTTCTGCTCTGTCTATAGGGTCACTATGAGTCGGAATCAACTCAATGGCACACAACGGTAACAGTAATGGGATTGGGGAAAAGCAGATGGATTTTGCGAATGTTAAGGGGTAGAACTGACAGGATGTTGGTGACTGATTAAATCAGAGAGTAAAGGAGAGAGGAGCCAAGGATGGCTCTCTGGAGACTTGGGAGATGAGGTGGGTGGTGGTGTCTTTGGGTTGGGCACCATGGAAGGAGCAGATTAAAGAAGGAAGATGATGGATCAGTCTTGGGCAGCATGTTGATTTGAGGAGTCTCTGGGCCACCCACATCCAGATGTCCACGTGACACTTGGATATATAGGTTTTTAGCTCAGAAGAATGGTCTGGACTAGGGAGAGAAATTTGGGAACCATCAGAATAGAAAGTATAGTTGAAGTCAAAAATGTAGATAAGAAAGAAAGAAGAGCCAAGAATGGGACCCTAGAAAACACCAACATGCAGAAGGAAGAACCCCTGAGGGACAGAGAGAGACAGAAAGAAAACCAGGAGACAATGGCATTACAGAAGAGGAGTGACTCTCAAGGAGAAGGGTGTGGTCAACAGTGTCAAATGCTACAGAAAAGGAAGTTTGGCAAGGACCCAGAACGCCCTTCAGACTTAGTGATTAGGAGATTATTGGTAACCTTGGTAAGCAGACACACTGGAGTCGTGGGAGCAGCAACCAGACTGAAGTAGACTGGACAGTTAATGGGATATGAGGAACTGAAGGCAAGGAGTATAAATTACTATTTTAAGAAGCATAACTAAAAGAAAAGCAAGAGACAGGGTGGCTTCTGATGGGAAATCCAGGGTTGAGGATGGGTTTTTAAAGATGAAAGAGAGCTGAGAATGTTTCTAAGCTGAGGGGAGAGAGATGACAGAAAAAGAGAGCTGGACATACAGGTGAGAGAGAGGATAGTCACTGGAGGTACCTGAGGATGGGTAGAGATGCCCACAAGTTCATAGGTATTGAGGTGGGGAAAGCTGATGGCCTTTGCTCTCTTTATGAAGTAGGAAGGTAGGAGGAAAGGTGACATAATGAGAGTGTGAAAGAGGAGATGGGAAAGGAGTCTTGAGGAGACGGGGGCAGGGGTAGTATGAAACTGGTGGGGGATGCGGAGACGGATGGCTAAGGATGTGGGAGAGAAGCACAGAAGATCCCACTGAGGTTGAAGACTACAAGCCTGAGGTGGCACTAACCCATTTAGTTCTGGGATATTCTCTAGCAGGACCCAGAAGCCAAAGAGAAAACTTGCAGTATCCAAGTGGAGAAAACTTGCAGGAGCACTAATCCAAGGTTAGGGGAAGAGGAATGGAAAGACACCAGAGACATGAGTATACTGGCCAGAGTACTGAAGGGATGGGTTATGGTGTCTAGGATGCCTGGGAAAGGAAATAAGGGCAGCAGAGGGCAAAGTGATGGGGAAAGTATGGGAAAGGACATCAAGGGTCTGGAGGCAATCTGGGGCTAGAGGACGGGAAGGTGGAATGTAAAGAGGAAGATGGTGAGACGGCAGAATGTGGCCAGTGAATGGGGTACGTGGATGTAGGGTTTGAGATACACAGTAGTTCTGGGTGATAATGAGATTTAGGGAAGAGCCACAGGTTAAGGAGGCTAAAGAACTTGAGGCCTGGGTGTTAGACAGGTCAGATGGGTCTCCCACATGGGCAGTAAAACACCCCAGGCATATGGAGGAAGGCTATGCTCCTCCCCCAGAGTCTTGACAGAAAGTAGAGAGTGAGCAGGAGGTTGGTAGATGATGGAGATGAGCAGGGGACTTAAGGCAAAGCCTGCCCAAACAGACTTTAAAGGAAGCAGGGGTGCAACCCAAGAACGGAGGAGAGGTGGCTAGAGCAGATTATGGGGCGGCAGGAGAGACAGCAGGTGGCAAAAAGACTGGGGACGTGCGGATGTAGGGGAGCACGTGTACTGTTAATTTGTCTTCTTACTGTGGAACAGAGGATTAAGAGGAGGCTGAGATTAGGCTCAAAGACTCAACGTGTGGTGACTGTCACTTGGAGATGTGTTACTGAGTGGCCTGCTAAGTAAAAGGGACATAATTTCTGGATTATATGTTCTGCAGATGAAGTTATTTGTGCTTCATCTACTCCTGTCTGTTTCTATGCATCATTAATTGCCAGCTAAGCTTCAGAACGGTTAAAAACCATTCTGACTTCCTTAGCAGATGACTCATCCATATCAATCTTTCCAGTGGGTTAGCGTGGAATACAGCCTGAAAAGTCTTTAAAAATTCTCAGAACTGATAGAAGATGAGAAATAATATTTAATTCAACTGGCATGTCATAGTAAGAGTGGCAGTAATCATCATCAACAGTAGCAACCGCTAACGTTTACTGTTTAATCCTCATAGTCACACTGTGGGGGAGATACCATTATGATCCCTGTTTACAGATGAAGAAATGGAAGCTTAGAGAGGTTAAAGGATTTGCCCGAGGTCACATAGCAGGTGACAGAACTGAGATCTGACCTCAGGCTGTTGGGGCAGTGCTGCCTGCCCCACCATGCCATGTGGTGGCTGTGTCCCTGCCCCGCCATGCTGTAGCATGTGAGCAGGCACCCGAGGCAGTGTCCCCAGGACCCTAGGCACTTCAAAGGCAGCACTGGAATTCAGGTCTCAAGGACATGTCAGAGAGGACTATAGATCGTCAGGGTCCATCTGAGCCCACTGAGACCACCGAGACCGTGTCGGGTGCGCATGAGAGAGGCTGTGTGAACATGTGGTTCAAGGGCCTTTTCATGAAGGAGACAGAAAGGCAGAAGGCAGACTAGCGTAGAGAAAGAAGGTTTATAAGAAAAAAAGAAATAAGGAAAGGAATAAAAGGTTAGAGCTAAAAGGAGAAGAAAAAAGCTTATGGAAGAGAAAGAAGCGTAGTATACGTATGAATCACGTGGTCTGGATTACAAATTATTTTAATATTTTTAAAGGAACAGAAATTATTTTAGTAACTACCATCTATTGAGCACTTACATGTGCTTTTGCTTTACCAGGTATATTTTTTCTAATCCTTACCACCTGATAAAGTCGGCATTATTATCCTCATTTTACAGATATAGACAGTTATTTAACAAACTTGCCATTTTATTATTAGAACTAGGAAACAATTGAGAAGATAAATTACCCCCACAGAAAATGAACATGACCTCGTCAAAGGTCAGAAAGAAGTGAGCTGGACTCTGGTTGCGATTCTCTCCAGTGCCCTCCCTGGGGCGGAAGGATCAACAGTAGCTGACGGTAACCATGGACTCTGAGCAATACTGTACTATGGCCACCCATTGCCCCATGTGGCAGGTCAGGTGCCTGGGTCTCCCGCAGGGGTGAGTGAAGACTCCTCTGCCCTATGTGTGGAGGGAAGACAGTAGGGCCACAGCTGCTCTTAAGGGCCCTTGGGATGTTAGGAAGGGCCTGTGTCCTGGTTAAACAATAACTCTTTTGTAACACAAGATGGCGCCCAGAGCCCATGGAGAAGGAAGAGCAGAGGCCTGGGAGGCCCCTGAAGAGCCATCTGTGGTAGGCTAAGGTCCTTTCCTACTGGCCCAGGATGAGAGACACACCAGGGTGGTAAAACCAGAACTCTCTTCTCTCCTGATCTCTGAACCAACGGGAGGCTGGTCAACAGGTGGCCTCCAAGGGGCTGGCCATGGTGTTCAGAGATACTGGCTCCAAGCGGGGAGGGGGCAGCAAGCAGCCTCACCATGCTCAAGGCGGTTGTGGGGTCCCGCCTTTTGATAGACTGTAGAAAGCTTTAAAATTGTTTGTGAGTACTGACAACTGCTGAAACTCAGTGATAGACAGGCGTATTGGGTTTGTGATATTGCTCTCTACTCTTGTTTATGTTTGAAGTTCCCATAATTAAACAGTTAAAATTGACTTTTTTTCTTGGGTGATGTGGCATCAGGCCTCTGGAGATGGAAGTGCTGCCTGGTTCTGCCCAGGAGGCTATGCCTGTGTCAGAGCCTTGGTCCGCATGCCTGGGGTAGGGCCAGAGCCCACTGGGGCCCTTGGTGGCAGGAAGGCCGTAACTGAGTGGTCACCAGTAGGCCAGCAGTGTCCTCGGATGCCAGACTGGCAGACTCTGAGCACAGGCGGCAGAACATATACTGAAGAGTTCCAGCTGTGAAGCCAGACAGCCCTGAGTCTAGCCCTGAGTCTGAATTCCTGCCCCCTGCTTAAACCAGCTGTAGAAATTAGGTACGTTTTATAACTCTCTGCTTCTCATGTTTATAGGGTAATGACATCTGTACTCTATAGGGCTGTGTGGACTATGTGAAGTCTCAGCACAGTGCCTGGCAAAGACTAAGCGCTCAATAAGTGGAAGTCTTACTATAAAAGGGCCCAGTCCCACAGAGTTCCTGGAGGAGGCAGCTACAGAGACATCTTGCTCCCTCCCAGAGCTCCAGCCCTTTCCCTAGTTGGGTGAGAACAGTTAACGCTCAGCTGGAGTCAACAGCAGAGTCCCCTTGTGAGTTAAGACAATACTGGCTTGGCTCCCCACCCCCCACATGCTCTGGGGATGGGGCCAGGCAGAGCCCCACGGCAGGGTGTGACGTCCACTCTTAGTTGAGATCAACTGATTAAGGAGGGCGATCACAGCTGCTTACAGCCAGACCAGCAGCTGGGTCCAGTATCTACATTTAAGGTATTCAAATTCAGCCACCTCATGAGCACACTGCACTCTTAGTGACCTGAGGACTGTGTGCCCCTCAGGGACGGATTACCCACTAAGCAAGGTATGCACAGGCTTCCTTGTGCTTACTTACTAATCGGTAGTGCACAGTTTCACCTGTTTTTCACCATATCTTTGACCACATGTGAAATTGTGCACTACCGATTAGTAAGTAAGCACAAGGAAGCCCGTGTGTACCTTGCTTACTGGTTAATCCACCCCTGGGGCCCTTCTAAGGGGTGGACTGACTAACGGGGCTGGCACTTGGGGCTGCAAACCGTGAGACAAAGTAGGCCTTACTTTCCACCAGGAAGGTGCAGTCCTCTTTATTATTTTCTATTTTGTAGTCTACAGGGTACAAGAAGGCTGCTCATCAACATCTGCTCTGAATGCTTTTGGAGACAATACAGGCCCTTCTCTCTCTAGGGAGGCTGTGTCCCTACAGGCTACAAAGTAAGAGTGAAAGAGAGCTCTGTTCTGGAAGGGATTTGCTCTGCCATGTTTTAGGCTGGCGGCCTTAATGGAAGCACCTGACCCTTCTGAACCCCAGTTTCCTTATCTACAAGATGGATTTATTAATTATCACTTAAGTAAAATAATATAAGAAAGCTTCTGGTGCATGGTACATGCTCAATAAATGTTTTATCTCCACCGACCCAACAAGATGACAAAAACTACAAACCACCACCCACCAAGTACTATGTCACTCTCCTTGGCGGCCTTATTCTCCTCAGAGGAAGAAAAGGGGTGAACTGACTGCCGGGCAACTGTGAGAAATCATTAGTGTCCCCCAAATGCTCAAACTCCGGCTTCAGGCTGCTGGGTAGACAGAGCCACCAATTTTCCCAGTGCCCGTGAGTAGTCACTGTTGGTGACAGTAAAAAACTCCTCTGCCTGCCTGACAGTGCCCTGGCCCAGTCAGTGTGCCCAGTGAGCTCCACGGGAAGGATTTAAAAGAAACAGCGTGTTTGTAAATAAGAAAGCAATTCACCAGGGCAGAGGGCAGGAGTTACCTTTCTTCTCCATCCGTTTCATGTCCATCAGCTTCTCCACGTTGTTAGGGTCATTCAGCCATAGCTGCATCCGGACAAAGGGCTCCCGTCCCTTCAGGCTGAGCTTGTGCCAGGGCTTCGGGCGAGCAAGAAGGTCGGAGACAGAGCCTTGGGTAAGCCCTAAGATGGTCTCCCCAAATAGGCGCTGGCCTAGAGGAAACAAAACCACCGAGAGAGGTCATCACTGAGATCCGGGCATCTGGTAGGACAAGTACATGACATCAAGGTTCAAATCAGACACAGGCTTGCAGGCCCAGAGTCTGGCCAGCTGGGTCCTCGCTCAGAGCAACGGCTTGGAAGAGGCCAACTTCTAACTGACTCCATCAGTGATTGAGTTGGTACTGCACTCTGCTCATACACAACAAACAACATTTCTCTCCAAAAAGCTTTGAGGCTTTGGACAAACTAGGCCTGGATGACACCTGTGGCACTTATCAGAGGTAGCTAAATCTCCCACCGCGAGACCTCTCTTGTCGACCTCAGACCAGAGGGCCTGCTGCACTGCCTCATTCACAATCAGCAAGGTTACCAGGGCTTGCTGAGAAAACAGGGCACTTGACCCAGGGTCCCAGCAGGAAAGAGGAGGAGAGAGCTCCTCAGTTCGACTTTTTTTGAAAAGCAGGCCATTTCTAAATCCACAGTCTGCTCCTGCGGCCAAAACTGCCTTTGCTGGCTGTGGCTCAAAGGGGATCAAACCCCTTCCTCGCACATTTCTCTGAGCAGTGGTGAGCAGCCTGCTTCTCAGGCTCAACAGAGGGAGGCGTGTCTGGAGAGCACAGCAGCATTACAGTTCCAATGTTTTTCAGAAGCTTAAAAAGAATTTCCACTTCTCTGAGAGCCACTCAGCTGTGGGTTAAGAATGTCACCACTTTTAAAGGTATAAATGAGAACTAGCGAGAAGCTGAACCACCCAGCGAGAGAAGGTAAATGCATGGGATTTGTCAGGTGGAACCTCTCCACCCTCCCCCCTCAGAAGGGTGACTGTGGGTGACTGGCTTATTCCCTCTGCTGCTCACTTCCTTCATCTGTGAAATGGAAACACCTCCGCCTGTGCTCACAGAGTAGTTGTGGAAGGAAGTGACGTAGCACTGCCTTTTAAGAGCGGGCCCCGGTAAAGGCTCACTGTGTGTTAAGGTTCGAGTTTGAGAAAGTAATTATTTTTGCATTAGTCATATTAACTTAAAGATAAATTTACTGATTTTTGACAACCCATTGTTTCTCTGCTTTTCAAACTCTTAGTTTAGCCTATAAATGCCCCAAGTCCTTAGTAGTTTTTTGCTGTTGTTTTAAATGAATTTTACCTTTTTTTTGTGCTTTAGCTGAAAGTTTACAGAGCAAATTAGTTTCTCATTGAAGAATTAATACACAAAATGTTTTGAGACATTGGCTGCCAACCCTGTGATTTGTCAACACTCTCCCCTTCTCGACCTTGGGTTCCCAATTTCCATTCGTCCAGTTTTCCTGTCCCTTCCTGCCTTCTCGTCTTTGCTTTTGGGCTGGTCTGCCCATCTGGTTTCATACATGGTTGAACTATGTGTGTGATTGTTTTATAGGCCTGTCTAATCTTTAGCTGAAGGGTGAACTTCAGGAGTGACTTCAGCACCGAGTTAAAAGGTTGTTCAGTGTCTGCGGGCCATACTCTCGGGGTGTCTCCAGTCTCTGTCAGACCAGTAAGTCTGGTCTTTTTTTGTGAGTTTGAATTTTGTTTACATTTTTCTCCTGCTCTGTCTGGGACCCTCTATTGTGATCCCTGTCAGAGCAGTCGATGGTGGTAGCCGGGCACCACCTAGTTGTTTTGGACTCGGTCTGGTGGAGGCTGTGGTAGTTGTAGTACAGAATTTTACCCAATTCTGATCTGACAAACTAATCTCCTTCCATTTCAAGGAGCTTGCTATGTTCAGGAAAGCAAAATATATGAACAGCTAATTATTTGTTGGCCCACCCGGCTGTACTGGACAGTTATTTGTATGACTTGTAGAGGTGTCATAGCAGTGGTTCTTAATCCTTTTTGAGTCACAGACCTCTTTGAGAACCTGAAGAAAGCTACAGGCCCTTACCTGATAAGATGCACACGTACACAACATTTTGCCTACCATTTCAGGGGGTTACCGACAAACACCACAAGATCCCAGGTCAAGAGTTAAGAGGATGCTTGGGTTCTGACCAAGGAGTTATCTTTGCTGCCAATTCAGCTCTAATCCGGCCCCTCTGTGTTCACTACTCCACTAAGACCTCAGGAGGGGAGGGAGCCACTTTCCCTGAAGAGCTAAGACCGGTTAGGGCAACCACAAAGACTGCTTCTGATCTCTGAACCCAGGCTGACACCGCTACCAAGCTTTTCTGGAAGTTCTTGCTCAAAGATGAGGACATCATCTGTCTGGGATGAAAAATTTCACCCTAAGATCACTGATTCATGCTTCCCAGCATTTGAAAATGAAGTTCCTTAGGCCACTGTGGTGCTCCTTTTGCAGCACCTAACAGCAGCTGCACCACTCAGCCGAAAACTGCAGCAATGGCGGAGAAATGATGGAAATACCAGGGATGAGATTTCAATATTCATGGCTTTGCAACCACCATCTTACAACTCATTAATGTTTTAAAATGAGAGCTTTCTTCTGATGGCTTTCAACTTTTACATGAAATGACGTTTCTTCTAGGGGAGTGGACAGCAATAATATATCGGGCCTGCTTCCTTGGACTTGTGACAAAACTGTGAAGTAGGGGATGACTCGAAGTCTAGGAATCTGTGTAATTTCAGTAACTGATCAACATAAGGGACTCTTAGGGATTGAACTGTTTCCCCCGAAAATGTGTTGTAAATCTTAACCTCTATGCCTGTGGTTATAATCCCATTCTGGAATCAGTTTTCTTTGTTATGTTAATGAGACAGGATTAGTGTAGGGTGTATCTTGAGTCAGTCTCTTTTGAGATATAAAAGAGATTAAATGCGAGCTAGCAAGCAGAGATGTGGGAAGATGGGGGAAGAGAGATGCCAAGCCACATGAAGATCACCCAGGAGCAGAAGCTCAAAAGAGACTAGGATTGTTCTCCAGAGCCATCACAGAGAGAAAAACTTCCTCTAGAGTTGGCACCCTGAATTCAGATTTCTAGCCTCCTGTGAGAAACTAAATCTGTTTGTTAAAGTCCCCCACTTTGTCGTATTTCTGTTGTAGCAGCACTAGATAACTAAAATTGGGACTTAGGAAATTTTTCAGTCAATAGCTAAATTTTTTTTTTTATGAATTGACAATGAAAAACACTCTCAGTTGATATGACTTGCTTCTGGTTCTGTTTTGTGCAATGATTTGCAGAGGCTGTGCGGGGTAGAAGGCCTCAACCAGACGAGCCGGGCTAGTCCCCAGGCTGTTAGAGCACTAGGCAAACTGTACTGGAACTCAGCTTACTGATACTCCCTTTTCCTCTCCCCTGGGAAAAAACAGAAGACACACGAGGTCCCTCCTGAAGGCACTGGACAGATTCTGACCACTCTTTGGGGCTGTTCTAACATGTACTGCAGAGGAGAAGGGAGCCCCTTTAATCAACTTTGACACCCAGGAAATAAGAAGGACATAACTATGTGGGGGAATGGTTGTTTCCATTTTCTGGATGCCTAAGCCAGGAGAACCATGTCTGGCCAAGGCTATGCTGCAGGAACACAATGGTTTAAAAACAACTAAACACCCTAACATTCTTACAGCCACAGCAACTGACGAGGGGGGTGACATGGAGCCCGCAGGGAAAGCCTTCTCAGCAGAGTCCCCAGGAGGCTGTAGCACATGCTGGACAAACGGGAGGGGTAACGAACTCAGTTCTCCAGGGGCTGCCTCATCTGAGGGGTGGGCCTGGGGCATGGAGACAGCAGGAACAACAATACTAATAGATTACTAGTTGCCAGGTATGGTGCTAGGGATTACTGCTGCTCACATAAACCTGACTTTAGGTATTATTATCCTAGTTTTACTGAGGAGGCTCAGAGAGTAGAAGTAGCTGGCCCAGTATCACACTAAATAACACGCAGTAAATAGAAGAACTAGGATTTGAACCCAGAGTCTGTTATACTCTTCCATTAAGCCATACTGCAGGTCCCAGGTGCTGCTGGGCCGATGTGGATCCTGCCCAGCTCGGGTGCCCACCAAAGATTTGGTGCTCCAATGGGTGTGTCCCAATAGGGACATTCTGAGTGGACTGCCTAAGCCTGCTGTGGCCCACATCTGTGTCTTCCAGGTGGTCCCAGAAGGGGCACAGGGATGGGGAGCGGGGTTAGGATTGGCCTGTAGAAGCACCCTTGTTAGCCCCTTAGTAGTCACAACTTTAGGCAGTTCTGTGTTCTTAGAGGTAGCTTATACAAGTTTAAGGCCCTTTGCTGGCTCAGCCTGAGGGTTCCCTTCCAGGTGCCGTTCTTCCATAGGACTCCGGTGAAATGAGTTCCTTTATGCGGCCTTTTGCCTTGGCTCTTTGAGAAAAGAGCTTGAGAGATTTTTTCCCCTAAGCCCTGAGCTGTGCCGTAGTTTTCTACCCTAGAGGGTTTGTAACTTTTGTCCAGGTTGACTTGACATTTCCTGGGTAAGCTGTAAACAATTTTTGGTTTGATACTTTTTGTTTGGCCCTGGGATGCAACCTGCCCTGTGACTGGTATGCACTTGTAGGGATTGGTTTTAATAGGCTATGTAAAAGAGATGAGTTGTAGCCTAGTATGTAAGCAAAGTGCCTGTGGCCTACTGAGAGGGGATTGGTCAGTTTATAGCCCTGGTGGGAATGCCATGCCTTGAAATTGACAAGGAGTTTGTGTATTTAAGCAGCCAACCCCACAGACGTTTTTTAGAGACAGAAAGAAGTAGAAGTAAGAAAAAAGGGGAGAGAGAGTAAAAGAAAAGGAATCTCCTAAAAGAGCTGTAACATGGGTCCAGGGCTGTAACACGGTAGACAGTGACAGGTCTAGCAGCAGAGCTGGTGGTGAGAGGCTCAGAAGTGGCCCTGTGGCAAAAGTTGGTGGTGACATGACAGATGGCAAGGCCAAGAGGGGCCTAATCCTGAGGGGGACTGAGAAGAGGCCTGCATGGTAAAGAGGAGCTGAGAGAGCTGTCCTGCACAGAAGCAGGGAGACTTTGCCTATATGCTTCCTGATCCTGATCCTGAGCTGTTGTCTGCTGATCCTGATCCTAAGTTGTACCCTGTTCTTTAATAAACCACTTAACTGTAAGTACAGTTCATGAGTTCTGTGAGCCATTGCAATGGATTAACAAACCCAGAAGAGACATAGAGAGTGCTGTGGGAGGGATGGCTGGTGTTAGAATTACTGAAAAGGTTGGAGAGTGGAGGTTTGTCTGACCACCACCTCATGGGAATCAGCTTTGTGCTGTTGGTGATTCTCATCACCCTCTATGAAGTTAGACAGGTTTTGTTGCTACTATTACTCCTACTCCTACTAGAATTTCACAGACTCAGATAGACTTAGTAGTTGAGAAGAGAACCTACCGAGGTTGTTGTCTGTCAACACCTCCTTGACTCTCTTGGTTATGCCATAGGTGTCTAGCTCTGGCGACATGGCTACTAATTCTTGAATGCTGAGAGCTGAGTGTCCGGAGAGAGGCAGTGGGGTTGTGGGCTGGGAGTCTGAAGCTGGAGGTTCGCTCGGTTCGGGTGGTTTTCCCTCCTTACTTGTTTCAATGGGGGGACATGGCTGCTGGACCAGTTCAGTCAAACTCTTCACTGACTCGCTAGAACTCATTGGTGATTCGGGTGCAGGGCTACAGCTGGCAGAGGTCTTTGGAGTGCTTTCTGTAATTAAAACACATGAGAAACCACAGCTTAGAACAGTTATTTTTCACCATGTACATTCACTTTACTTATCTAAGAAATACTAATTAAATGCCCTATATGAGACATAAACACTATGGTACTGTACGAACCTAAATGACTGTCTCATAGTTTTTTTGATGGAGTAATTGCTAATCTTTTTTCAAAAACAACAAAAAACAGCAACAGTAGAAAAACTAAGGATTTAAATAAGAGGTTTCTGAAGGCATGAAATAAGCGCATTCTGTTAAAAAGTATCTTTCACATTAATCATGTATTAACACTGTCATGATTTCTTCTAACGAAGCCCCATAATTCTATAATTCAGAAGTACCTTGGCTAGATTATTTTGTCCATATTTTCCAGAAAAACAAACAGAAAAAAAGGGCAGATTGTTTTAAATGATGGTTTCCTATGATGTGTGGTCACCACAGTTATAAAGACCTTTGAAAAAGAAGCCTAAGGCCTCAGTGACTCTCTGCTGGCCCCCCGAGAGCCCAGTGCTGAGTCTTCCTTAAGTAAATATGCTGCTGCTCAGGATCCCAGATTGGTTTTTACTGTGATGCCCAGAAGGCTCCATACCACCCATCTCTAGAAGAAGACTGAGGAAACCAAAGAGAAAGGAGCACCCATTCTGTTCTCCTGCCTTTCCATTTCAGAGCTGTATAGGGCAAACCCAGTACTGCTTGGTTGTGAAAACCAAGCTCTTTGTTCCTCTATGCCACGCTGTAACAGACAGCAGAGATGACCTAGGCTGGTGTGGACAGTTGGGTTTCCACACTCTCCTTCCTTTGGAAGGACCTCTGCCTTGTTGGCATGATTACAGGTGCCCAGGCGGAATGGTCACCACACACTATTGGTGATGGGACTTTCTGGCCTCTCCAATATCATCACCCATAGGAGCCAACAAAATAGGCTAGATTCTAGTTTTGTGATGTCTGGAATAAAGACTTTGGCCACTTTCTAATTTCTGAAGAGAGAAAGACTGTCCAGGAGGAAAACTGCACAGCAAGTTAGTGCTGGGGTCCAGGCCATCATGTAAAATCTGCTCTGGCCCCGTGTCTTGGTGCACTCTCTTTCCCCACCCGTGCTGAGCACTACATGTAAGTCCTCACGGTGCCACATACGAGGGCTGACCAGACAGTCTCACGTAGGCTCATGAGAACTGGCTCTATGGCTCCAGAGAGATGATAAGTCACAGGGCAGGGTTAGGTTTCCCTCTTGCTTGCTTCTCTCTCAGCCCTAGTGGGTCACTGAGCCAACATCAGTACCCACAGTAGGTACCCAAAATACTTGTTACCTGACTAAAAAGAAAATATACTGAGTACTAATTTAATTTCAATTTACCATATAACTGGAATGTCCTTAGTTGGACATTTTACACCCAGGATAACAACCTATTTTGAACTCAAGAGAATGGAAAATGTATTCCAAATATGAGGAATAGTCTCTGTAAATACCTAGGAAGAGAAAAATCTCAAATAAAACAACTGCAATTCAACCGATAAACCCGTTTATTTCCTGAACCTGTACAGAGTTCCATAATCACATAAAGCTGTATCCTCAAACCTAGAAAATCAGGTTTAAAAAAAATTGGTTTGTGCAAGATGTAAAAGAGACAGGCGTAAAGGGCAGAAACGGCCCGTATAAATCTTTAAGGCAATATGAATCCTACAAATCAGATTTCTTCTCGCTGCTCACCTCCAGGTCATCATACAACTGGATATAAAACCCAGCAAATGTTATTTTTGTATCTGAAGCAGCAAAGGAATTGTACTGTGAATTTGCCCTGATTCACTCGTGCGAGGGACCAATTTGGCAGATCATCCATCTTGCTCACTATATACTGTCAAGGATGGCATGAATTCCCTACATGATAAACAGATCTCTTCTCAGGTTTGTGTCCTTTAACCCACAGCAAGGTCAAAATCATGGCTGCCCGGCTCACAGACCACATGGTGCTGGCTGTTCTCATGCCTCCCTGTTTTGTCCTGGGTGCCAGCGGAGGCAGCGCTCACCGAGTCACTGGAGCAGCTGCTTGTTTCTTTCTTCTAGGCATTTTCAGCAAGCTGCTTGTACGTTGTTTTGCTGTGAAGAACCTCTGAGAGAGCTAAATAGAGGCCTCATCACACAATACTGAGGTCTCTCTGTGCTCCCGGCCATGACTACAGAGAAGGAAAACCCTGAAGATCAAAACCCTGTCCTGTCAGGGCCTTGAAATTGCTTCTTGGGGAAGTGAGCCATCCCAGAAGGCAACTTGCTGTAGCAGGCTTGTCTCTGCTTCTCCACTCTAAGGCATTACCTTCTGAGCTGGTGTCTAAAATACGGCTAACAACTCAAGCTATGAGCGCTCCTCCTGGAGACAGTTTACTTGTGGATAGACACGCATACACACCACCAGGTCTCAGGTCACAGAGAGCAGAATCAGGCCCACGTCTTTGGATAGGCATGGACAGATGCAACAGCAAATGGCCTCCTTGGAGACACACAAATCCATACCCTCACGACAATCACTTTGGAAAAAAGTCATTCTTTAGAAAGCTATTTACAGAAAGCCCTGCAGCTCCAGCTGTAGGACTACTCTGACAAAACCAAACCCACTGATAAACACCCAGGGCCCCCCTGAAGAGGTGGCCAGGCCCCTCTGACGGGGGTGGGATGGGGCCAAGCTAGTTGTCTCTCCATCTTGACAGAACAAAGAAATGTTGTCAACACTGCTTTTTTTTCCTATTCCAAAAATTAGCAAATGAAACCCTCTGATTAAAATAATGCTTTCTGGAAGAACAGGGCTTTGCTGTACTCCATGTCACTAAAAATAACAATTATATATTAAGAAAAGAAAAAGGGAGAGCCCTGGGCTTGGGGTTCAGGTACTGAGCCTGGGTATGATTCTTAACTTCCTGGAACACCCTGGTTTCCTCATCCGACAAATGTGGACAGTAACACCTCTTCTTAACGGGATTGCAGCGAGGAATGAGGCTGCACCAAGGTTGGTGCAAAGCAAACACAATCTGAACTTGGTGTTTAAAACGAGCAGTTATTAAATTGTACTGAAATGTTCTGTCTCTACAAAGCTCTCTTGCATTCAGTGTCAATCTCCACCTGACTTACTGCTGTTTCCCCCACAGTGCCTGGCCCATGGCTGAGCTGCTGGCCATCCACTCAAAAGCCTACATCCCGTGTGAAACCACGAGATGACATTCTGGAAAAGGAAAACCACACGGACAGAAAACAGCAGTGGTGGCTGGGAGAAGGAGTTGACTACAAAGGGCCACAAGGGAATTCTGGGTGGAGGGGGTAAAGGAACTGTTCTAAATCTTGAATGTCAAAACTCATAGAATAGTGCTGAGTGAAGAATGAATTTTATTTCAATAAAAACATATAGGAAAAAAAAAGTCCTGGTTAAAAGAATGAATAAAGGTAGGTCATTTCATTCATTCTTTCACTCATTCAGTAAATCTATTGAGAATATGGCAGTGAACAAGTTAGGGGTGAACTTATCCTCCTGGAGCTCACGACTAAGAGGAGAGACAGCCATTAAAGAAGAAACACCTAGAGGGGGAGGCAGTGGTGGCTCAGTGGTAGAATTCTCTCCTTCCATGCAGGAGACCTGGGTTCACTTCCCGGCCAGTGCACCTCATGCGCAGACACCACCCGTCAGTCAGTGGAGGCTTACGTGTTGCTATGATGCTGAACAAGTTTCAGTGGCACTTCCAGACTAAGACAGACTAGAAGAAAGGCCTGGTGATCTACTTCTGAAAATCAGCCAATAAAAACTCTATGGATCCCAATGGTCTTATCCACAGCTAATCATGGGGATGACACAGGACTGGGCAGTGTTCCATTTCGTTGTGCAAGGGGTTCCCATGAGTTGGGAGCTGACTCCACAGCAGCTAACAACAACCTAGAGGGAGATGAATGTTCCCAAGGGTGATGATGAGGGGGCATGGGAGCACACAGCAGGGCGAGCTGGGGTGGGGCTGAGGACGCGAATGGAGCCTGGGGACCAGAGAGACCTCCTGGAAAAGTGGTACTTCAGGCGAACTTCAGGGAGAAACAGGAATTAGCTAGAAGTCGGGAGAAGTGGGAGGGACGAGGAGGGAGGCAGATAGTTCCAGACATTTAGAACAGAAAGTACAAAGCCTGGGGGTGAGGGGGAGCCTGATGGGCTTGAGGCATGGTCAATATTTAGCGCAGCAAGAACCTGAGGCAGAGGCCCTCAGGGGCTGGGTTGTGCAGGGCCTCTGGATCAGCTGCATCAAGACGTCTGTGATTTAATGCTAGTGCAGTGGGGGGAGTCAGGGGAAGGTGTATTTGAAGATAGGCCCACCTTTCACCCCAGCAGCGCTGCTTCTGCAGACTCAAAGTGGGCACAAGAGAGCTTACTGAGGCCTTGTCTGAAATAACAGAAAACTGGAAACAATGTCTATGACCAGGAGGTCAGAGATCTAAACTGAGGCACGTTCGTGCACTACACTACGTCCTATCAATACACTGGAGCCACTGGATCAACATCACGAGCATAACGACGAGCCCCAAAAGCAAGACGCAGAACAAAACAGAACAACACTGCATACAGTTTGAAAGCTTGCAAACCAGTCCTGTATGTGTGGCCACTTAGATAAGTAGTGAGGATGTAAAATCCAGCACAGGAATGATAATAGTAAACTTAGGATAAAAAACCCACTGCTGTCGAGTCGATTCTGACTCATTCATGGCAACCTCCATGTGTTGCAGGAGTAGAACTGAGCTCCATAGGGTTTTCTTGGCTGTAATCTTTATGGAAGTAGATCGCTATGCCTTTCTGTTGTGGCGCCGCTGGATGGGTTCGAAACCACCAACCTTTTGGTTAGCAGCCAAGTGCAAACTGTTCCCACCCTCCAGGGACCTCAATTCACTTTTAGGAGGAATGATTATCAGGGAGGGGGCTTCAACTTTTCTTTAATGTTTTCTTTCTTTTAAAAACACATGATTAAACTATG